ATTTTTTTCCTCTTCCATTTTCGCCTAAAATCAACTCTTGAAAAGATACATAATTAAATAGGAAGAAAAATATGACATTTTTCGAATTTTTTTAACATATTGTGCCGCCAAAAGTTAAGCCCACGTTTTTTTTATGCGCATAGAAAAATTTTCATTTCTAGTGATATTTGAAAGCCAAAAAGCCAAAAATCTCCGTGGATATACGATTCACCCAAATATGGCTTTTTGAAACAGATACCGTCTGGACTATATTCAAATGAAAGCTGGTTTCAAGACCTTTAAAATGGTGCCTGGTATAAGTTTGTACAATTAAAATCAACCGAGATATGTGAATTTAACCAACGATACTTTTTCTTATTTTTATAACATTTTTATTGCTTTCGGTATTATTTTGTCTAATAAATTTATTTTTGTGAATGTGAAAGTTAAAATAAGATTAACTGTTGTTTAAATAAATAAATAAATAACAATATCCAATCACCTAGAAACTTATGCATGAAAACTTGGGCGAAATATTTCGAGGCAGCAAAATAAGATTTCGTATTTCCATATTTCATGGAAATAGTATGAGGCACTTATTGTACCTTATCAGAATTTTAAATTAGCTGTCACTAGTATGTTTTGGGGTACAGTAGGCGAATATAAAGTTGTATGCTGTGTGAGTAGCAAAAATATTGCAAGGAGTATTTTTTTGTCAGAAATCGAAATCACAATTTTATTTTCTTTTTGCACGTATCCGAAGGTGTGAAAATTGTTTAGAAGTTGTGAAGTTGAGGACATTTTGAACATATATTAAATAAATTTGACAATTAAAAACCTGCGGCAGTTGTCATGTTGATTGTTACTTACCTGTCACAGCCAACCTAGCGAAACAAATGGAAACGTCATTTTAAGAAAAGGGAAATGTTTATTCGTAAATAAAATTAATGAAACCACTGAGTTTAGGTATAGGGAAACTTTAACAAAGTTACACTTAATTTTAGTGCAGAATGCGAATATATTAAAAAATTAGGGGTTTCCATTTAAAAATTTCGAGTTTTTCGCATTTTCTGAACTTCATATTCGATAATTTTTTTTGACCACCCTTTGCTTAAAATTCAAAATATCTCGGAAACGGTCAATCCTAAGTATGGGGGTACTATATGTTTTCAACTTAAAAATATACGCTCTTTCAAAAAATGTAATAATATACAGGGGGTTTCATTTAAAATAAGAAAGTTAGTATAGATTTCCTGTATAACCGGAACTAGGATGACCTTGAAAATATTTTAGCTTGGTAGGCCCCACGGTCCTTATCACAACGTCACAATTTCAAAAATATCCTTCGAGCGTTTTGCCAGATATCCATCGATGGAGTTCGTGGTGGGACTCCCTGTACAGTGTGACCCGAAAAATAGGCGTGATTGAAGTAAATTTGTTTATTCCTAATAATTTCTGTTGTTCCAGCCGTGGCGACCATCACCGACGCCCTGGACGACATCTACTGCCTCCAGGAGTCGCAACCGCAGGAGCGCGCGCACCTGCTGGCCCTCTTGGAAGACACCCGTCTTCACATCCTGCTGGAGGTAGGTGAACTCCGCGTACGGCGCATGCCTCCCGTTTCTACCGGCCACTACAGCGGCGGCGGCGACGACGGCGACGGCCATTGATCGCTGTCACCTCCGGCTCGACTTTCGTGCCGGATTCGCCCGTTGGACGCGTGTATGGGGTGATAAAAAAAACCAGTAAAATTAGTTTATCCAGAAAAATGTTGATACGTAACAAATTCTGAAAATATTGCTGTTTAAAATAATTTGACACTGTTTTTGAACTTAACAATTAATTAGAGACACTATAAACATCTTTGTTCAATAAAAAATGGCCGGTTTCGTTAGTTTTTTTTTGTATGAAAATGGCTCCATCTGTCGTGCGGACTCCCAACTGTGCCATTCAAATGGCTACAGTAGGGAGCGACCTGCTATATTGCAGGTACTTGGTTGCACGACTGCCACCCACAGAGGGCGTAACACAATGTTTGAGTTGTCAGTGTTACGAGAAACAACTACTCCGAGAGCTGTATGCTCCTACCGGCGTTGAATTATACTCGCAACACCAAGTTCAACAGCTAGGATCGTTTGTCAGTCTACCCACTAGGCACAGACCGGTTTAGGACTTATTAGTCCTCATCAGTGTGTCATAGGTGCGACAACCGACAACGACCCAGCTGTTCTTCGTCGGACTGTAGCCATTTGAATGGCACAGTTGGGAGTCCGCACAACAGATGGAGTCATTTGCGCTCCCGTGTACAATGTATTTCCTTTTCGTGATGATACGACGAAGAACAGCTGGGTCGTTCGTCGGTTGTCGCACCTAAGACACACTGATGAGGACTAATAAGTCCGAAACCGGTCTGTGTCTGGCGGGTAGACTGAACAAACGATCCTAGCTGTTGCACTAGGTGTTGCGAGTATAATTTAACGCCGGTAGGAGTATATAGCTCTCGGAGTAGTTGTTTCTCGTAACACTGACAACTCAAACTGTTTAAGAGATTCCACAAATCGCAAAAAAATTCAAACGCGCGGTAAACAAAATCCCATCGATTTTATGTAATCATTTGTACATTCAAGTTAACAAATTGGCGTAATTATTCCGGGAAGACGAAATTATGTAAGAAGAGGGCGACAAATGCGGCTCATTTAATTTCACAAGCGGCGCTGATTGCCCCGCATTTCACTCGGTTTAGTTTCCAGCATAAAAGTCCATATAAAAAGCATATTACGCGACGTTTTTCACTCTGGCATTGTTGTGGACGGTGAAATATGCATTTCGCGCCACACCGTAGCCCGAGATAAAACGGTGGTGCCGACTAAAGGAGACCCTTAACCTGGAATTCTAACCGGACGTTTCGAAGTTTAGGCGGCTTGAAATATAGACGTTTTATCAGTTCCGCGATACGTTATATTTACAATACGAAAACGTCGCCTCTTTCGGTGTACGCTCCAGATACCGTACCTGTTTCCGTTTTCCGTCGGTGAATCACTTTGGGATGCTGGTGGGGAACGTGACGGAATAAACAAGGGTTTTAAGATAATTTAATGATTAGAAGAGGGTATGCGTGTTGGGAATTCGCCTTGGTTTGTCACTCATGCGTTTTTGTCGATCGATTATACAGGTAGTATACTACGAGTACATACCAAGAGACTGGAGTGCATCGTCTTTTTAACATTGGGTCTAGGGATTTGCCGCCATTTCCGTTCTTTGTACCAGAATGGTTTCGTTTTTTTTGACAGTTGTTAAGTAGAAATATGGCGGTTAATAAATATGGAGAAGTATACGACTAAACAACGTGTCTTTATTGTTAGAAAATATTTTAAATTTGGCCAAAGTTATGCAGAAGTTGGGAGAAAATATCGAAGAATATATGGAAAAACAGATCGTTCGATATATTGTGAATAAATTTGAAAAAAAAAACTGGTTCAATTCAAGATTAAAGAAGTAAAATTTTCAGTTATAGTAACCGTTCACAAGAAAATATTGCAGCTGTTAACTGGGCTCTTGCAATGAAAGAAGAAAATGATTTTTTTAACAAAATCATCTTCAGCGATGAAGCTCGTTTTGAAATGGATGGATGTGCAAACAAACAAAGTTGAATTTTGCAAAATTGACCTCGGATCCGTGATCAGCGACCCCAAAAACCGCCGTATACCAAATATGGCGCGAATGTGTAATTTTTTGAAAATTTGGTCGGCCATCTTGGATCCGCCATCTTGAATTTTGTAAAATTGACCTCGGATCCTTGATCTGCAATCCCGAAAACCCCCGTATACCAAATTTGACGCGAATCTGTTATTTTTCGAAAAATTCGTGATATCTGACCTTAATTAATCGGTTTTTTTGAGGTTAGAAAATGAATCATCAATTCTGACGGCAGATTCACGTTCGGCGGGGTCTTAACCATATAAATGAACATTTGAATATAGAAAAAAATATTTTTTGTGTTTTTCCTAGCACATTTCGTGAATTTTTGACCTGTTTTTTTGAGGTTAGGTCATTTCTGTGATGTGAAAATTCAGTTCTGACCTCGGATCCGTGATCAGCGTCCCCGAAAGTCCCCGTATACCAAATTTGGCGCGAATCTGTTATTTTTCGAAAATTCGTGATATCACCTTAATTAACCGGTTTTTTGAGGTTAGAAAATGAACCATCAATTCTGACCGCGGATTCATATTCGGCGGGGTCTTAACCATATATCATTTATATGAACATTTGAATATAGAATAAATATTTTTTTGTATTTTTCCTAGCACTTTTTCGTGAATTTTTGCTATTTTTGATCTGTTTTTTTTTTGAGGTTAGGATATTTCTGTGATGTGATAACTTAATTCTGACCTCGGATCCGTGATCAGCGACCCCAAAAACCCCCGTATTCCCAATTTGACGCGAATCTGTTATTTTTCGAAAATTCGTGATATTCTGACCTTAATTATCCGGTTTTTTTGAGGTTAGAAAATGCACCATCAATTCTGACCGCGGATTCACGTCTGGCGGGGTCTTAACCATACAAATGAACATTTGAATATAGAAAAAAATATTTTTTTGCATTTTTCCTAGAATTTTTTCGTGCATTTTTGCTATGATTGACCTGTTTTTTTGAGGTTAGGAAATTCCTGTGATGTGATAACTCAATTCTGACACCGGATTCGTGATCAGGAGGCAAAATTGCTGCTGAAGCATATTAATGTGCAGAATATCTGGTTTCAACATGACGGCGAAACATGTCATACACCAACAGAATCAGTCGATCTTTTAAAACAGACAATTGGTAACAGAATAATTTCTCGAAGAGATGTTAATTGGCCATCAAGATAATGCCACCATTAAACTTCTTTTTATGTTTTTTTTTTGAAAAGAAAAGTTTATGCTGATAGTCTACAAACCATTCAACGTCTGAAAGAAAACATAATTGAGCAAATCCTACAAATTGAACCACTGTTATGTGAACACGTGATAAAAAATATATAGGGCCCGAAAAACGAAGACTCTGTATAGTTCACAGTATCACGCATTTTGGATCTGTTGCGCCTGAACCTCTTTAACAGCAAAGAAATAGACTCCTTATTTGGGCGACCGCGTAGACACGCATCACGCGCTATTTCAAGACTCGGACGCACGCACGGTCTGCAACGCGTCAAAACAACACCCTGGATGTTTTCCTCCTCACCCCCTCGCTCCCCAATCGATCCCCGGCGCGCCGTCCTCGACTATCCTACACGTTAATAATTTTTCTCCGGCTGGATCCGACACTGGCCAACGCATATTGCGTTATTGCGGGCCCTAACTTAATTGCTAGTGGCAGGATGTGGCAGGGGAGTGGATTGTTAGTGGAAACATTAACCGAGTTTCGGTGTTGATTATTGCACAGATCGTGGAGGGTTTTTCGATGAAGAGATTTTGTTATTCTTGCTCTATTGTGATACCTATTGGTTAGATATACTGAATTTGCAATTAAATGCAATTTTTAATATTAAAAAGTATGTTAACTGGTATTTTTTTAACATGTCTAGTTCTTTGGAGTTCTGCATGCCACAAATGAATCTAAACACGTGTTCTGCTAGACCGCTAGCGCAGTTCTTTACACGGATTTGGTAGCTCCAGACCATTTGATCGCCATTTTCGAGCGTCGATGTAAATTCCTTCTTATTCGGTATAATTACATCAAAAACAATAACAATACATGGCGCAAAGAAAATATACACTTAAATGTTTAACTGTAGACAATATAGAAAATGTGTCTGTGTAAATTTGGAGAAACTTCTGGCCAATTTATTGGAGCTAAGAAATTGACGCTAATTTCTTTGCGAGATCCACCCTCTACGCCAAGTTGGCTCTTTCATTAGTTCAATACAGTCGGTGAATGGTACAAAAACCGCAGTAGCTCGTTCGGCTCAACTGGGTAAATAAATTAACCGTAGCTTACTATTAAATAACGAACAAATTCATTAGTTTTATGTTGGTGCTTAATCAGTGGTTGGTTTAAATTGTGTTTGCTGCTCCTAGACAGTGATTAATCGGTCTTTTGCTTCTCGTCACGGGGAAGGTTTACTTCTCTGTAAACAACGTTATAGAAACATATTTTTGTAAGTAATCCACTAACGAGATTGTATGTGGCTTATTTTGTCAGTTCGTTATCAAGGTTCGTTCCCACAGTTTGGCTTTGGGAAAGCAAAATCTTTACGTGACACTACTTCTACGTCATGAGTATGTATAACTATTTATAGCATAATTAGCGGTATTATAAAAATAGCCAAAATGTAGAAGTTCATAATTTTCCTCCCCAATAGCACCCCCGTAATCGTGAGACGCGGAAAGGTCCAACCTACACAACGACACCAAAATCACTCCGATCGAACAACCCCTGCGCCCAGCGGTCGTGACCGAACATTTGCTACACTTTGAAAATTTTATACACGTACATATTTTCCTATCATCTAGCATTAACACTATTGATTCCTTAAACAGTTTCAGTATTATAAGTATTATTTCCGATTACAACCATGAATCATGAAATATGATAAATAATAAATTGTTTCATAATAATATCAGTATTTTTCCTTCATTGAATTATAGGTCCACTCGTTTATAAACAAATATTTAGTCTAAATCGGACGGTTTCAGCATCATTAGTCCTTAAAAATGCAAAATTCTATTTATTTATTCCGTCAAGGAGAAAAACGCATAACTTTAACCTTCTGTCTCTGTCTCTCTGTAAGTTATTAACAAAAAAGGGTTTAGAAAGTCGATTTTTAAAGCTTAAACCCCAACTTTTCTCTAAAATCTGTAGTTTATCCAATATATCGGAAAAACTGATTTTCGACCCAAATTAAAAAAAAAACAATGTTGCTAATGAAAAAAATTGACTCACGAGATGAGACACCTTTTCAACTGCCTATCCGTGCACATTTCAACAATAAAATAGCGGACGTCAATTCATCGATTTTTTTAGTCCAATAAAATCGTGGAAAAGGTGTAGTTTTGAAAGTTCTTCAAACTGTTTCTGTAACAGAAAATCAAGACGTTTATCATACCTCCATTAAATAATTCCCGTTTGCCCGAATAATACCCAGATGGATAGATTTATGTACCTACTTCTCGCGTTTCTTGTGGGTATTTCAGTTTTTAAATTCAAATCACGTTCTGCCAATCCCTTTTAAAATATTACCCAGAGAGAGGTTTTCCGTCTACTTGGCGTCTTTTTATACAGTCCCACCGACCAGTAATCCGTTCTTAATTGCTTATGCAGGCGCTCTCCGTTAAATATTTGTTATTTATTAGATACTGAAGAAATCCCGAGGCTGTACCCCAAAATAAGTAAATGCAAGATTCTCTGTTAAGTAAAAAAATATATATATTTCACTGTGTTTACATTACTAGGAAGTAAAATTTTTACAGAATTTTATTTCTTTGAAATAGGGCTGAATATTTGGAGACTTTATGCAAGTTTTTCTAGTTTAAACAAGAATAACTATATTTTTGGTATCTTTTTACCTGTTGCTGACTTTTAGGAATCCTTATAAAAGGCAAGTCAGTATTGACTAGATACAAGGTAGACTAATGCAATAAATAAGAATATGATGTGTCTCCACAATGCATTTTTTGATACTAAATCTAAATTTTTTCCTATGGTGACACTTCATAATCTCAAACTGTCCGACTTTTCCATGCTTTATATTTCTTGCTTGCCGGGTTAGTTTCTCAAGCGAATTTAAGATTTCATAGTACGTCACATCCAACTTGAAGCACGAGTAAACAGAATAGACGACAAAGGCGTAGGAAATAACTTTAACTGTAAATAAAAACTTACTACTTCTGCAGTACATTTATGTTTGTCTCCAAATGCTTTGTCACGTGATTATTTGTGAAAGTTTTATTGTGCGATTGTATGTAAAATGAAAAACTTAATAATTTGTAAGTTCATCCGTAAAATAATCTTTGCTTGAAGTATGTAACTTTTCTTGATGGTGATTTTTTATCAACTTTTCCTTATTTGTTTCATAAAACAGTTACAATAAAATAAAATAAAAAATGCCTTAAAATGAAGCTTTTGCGGTCCTATATTTGTAAGATAACTTTTCCGAAATTAATTTTCCTGCTGTAGGTCGTGTTAAAACTACCACCCTGTGTACCCACTCAATTAACTTTAAGTGTAAATAGAAAACGCTCGAGACGCCTGTGCTCCACATTAGGTGTAAATTGAGTGCGATATCACTTTAACAAATCCGTCTGGCAGTCGACTCTTCTCTTCGAACGTGGAGAATTTGTCTCTGAAGGGGGAGCAATTATATGTTTAATTAAAGACCTTAAATTTCGCGTTGGGTTGTGAGATGGGTGGCAAATGCCGACAGTCTTCCTAATAACGCGTCACTCTTTGCTGGCGTTCCCACGTTATCAGAAGGTCGACGCGTAGACGGCAATTTTTATAAATACCAGGGAAAGTCGTCAGATAACAGAAATTGTTTGTGTCCTGCATTTCGTCTCGGCTTCCAGGCTATTGATTATAGGATTTTAAAAGGAAATATGACGTTCAAGAAATTAGAGGGTGGAAATTGGAGATAGGGGTGAAAACTGCACCCTTTTCAGTTTTTTAATTGTAGCTCGAAAGCGAAGCAAAATTTCACTATAGTTCATTCATCAAATTATTTAGAGAATTGAATTTCTCATCGAAATGGCTTATTTAAAAAATTTAAAAGGAAAATTTTATGAAAAAAATCGTTAATAAACAATTTGAAAAAAATTCGATTTTTTGATTTTTTTTTTACTTTTTTGCCTTTAATTTTTTTTTGTGTAAAGATAGGTATAGGCATTGCTTCATAAAAAAGTAGATAAAATTTCCTTAAAAAAAAAAGAGGTTGTACAGTATTTTTGGATGAGAATTGACTGATAATGGCCGCTCAAACTTAGCCAATTTTTCGATTTTCGTCGCATTTGCCCTTATAAGTTTTAATTCTCATTTTTTTGCAAAAAAAGAAGGAAATAAGACGTTCAAGGATTTTCATGACATGACTTGTTCGAAGGGTCGTTAAAAATGAAAAAACGCGGGGTGCTATTAAATTAGAGGGAAATTGAAGATAGGAGTGGAAATGCACTTTTGCAATTTTTTAAATATAGCACGAAAACGAAGCAAAATTTTGGTATAGTTCATAGGAAACATTTTGTAGAGAATTGAATTTCCCATCGAAGTGGCTTATTTAAAAAATTTAAAACAAAAATTTTATGCAAAAAATCGTTAATAAACAATTAAAAAAAACAAAAAATAAGATATTTTCATTTTTTTTTTACTTTCTTGACTCTATTTTTTTTTAGTGGACGTAGGCAAAGAAAATTGCTGTACAAAAAACTAGATGAGATTCCATTCAAAATGATACGCTTTAAAAAGTTTTTGGGCTAATATTGACTGAGTTATAACCGGTCAAACTTAAATATTTTTTAGATTTTTGTCGTTTTTAACAATGATTATAATTCTTATTATTTTTACAACAAATTGGTTCTTTACTTAATAAAAAATTATTTTAAAAGTTTTATTTGTTAATAATAAATAAAGATTTTCACAACTGTATGAAACTATGAGGGTTTTTTTCAAATGAAATTACAGTTAATCATATTATTATTGCTTATTTGGAATATGGAGATGTTTCTTATTTTACAATAAAATAATTTAGCAAAAACTTGAGAATTTAAGTACAATAAAGTTTATTAATAATGTATATATACAGGGTGGTCCAGATTTTAATAGACAAACTTTGGGAAAGTACCAAACAACAAAAATTAACATCACTTTGCTATATGAACATAGGCGCAGAAAGCCACAGTTTATGAGATTTTTGAAATTATCAAAATAAAATATTTTTTTTAAATATCTGGAAAACCGCTTCATCCAATTTATCCAAATTTGGTACACATTTTTTTTCGAATATTTCTTCTAGTTCTGTATGCACACAGTCCAAATTCAAAAACCAGTGGTGGAGAAACAATGATATCGTTTCCTTATTTAAAGTAAAACTTTTATGTCACTGAATTAATTGGTAATATGAATACATTTTACAACGGTCTGAAATATTCCGGATGAAAAAACACTCTTTTATTTTTGTCGAAAAGTGAATGGTTTACGAGTTATGAGACATATTATGAGAAAAAAAAGTTTAAATAAAAATTACAATACAGCAACATCTTTCAAAATTATTTATAATTATATAGGGCGTTGCATTTCCACGTGGCTATATAAAACTTATTTTTTTTTAATGGAACGCTCTGTATATTATTTAAATTTCTGTTTACACATTAAACTGTCTATTCAGCCATGTTTTGTTTTCCAAAATCCCAGTAACCCCTGCGAAGTTTTTCAATTTTTTTATAAAAAATGTAGGAAAGCATTATCCATTGCTACCCCAGTTTTTTCGATAGAACCCAACTGTTTATCTTGTATTTCAAAACAACCAATAAACATTAAATATTTATCTGGATACGACCAAGGGTAGCAAAATCGGGGAACAAGTCCGCCTTTTCCCTGTTCTTTGCTGCTATTCGCCGCCCAGTCCACCCGGCAATAAATATAAGAAGCTTAAATTCGATAAACACGTTCTCATTGTGTTTTTGTACCGCTACGAACGTGTTTACAGGTACCAACACGCCACGTAAGCGTTATTACAGATCCCTGCTCTGTTTCAGCTGTTCGATCGGATCTCCAGCAAAGTGGTGACACCTCTGAGACCGCCCATAAGCGACGCCGTTCAGAACGCTCGAGACGCTGCCGACGCACTTCGGGAATTGGAGCACCGACGCGACACCGACCACAGGGATCTGCAGGAATTGAGGGACCTACTGTGCCGGCCACACTTTAAGGTGAGGGCGCTGACGCCGCTTCCGGATCGTTACAGAAAACTGTTTTTGCGATAAACATGAATTCATAAAGTCTAAGTATTATCAAATTATTCAGATCGTTTTGAAAATAAAAGTTTCTAGGTTTCTATCGCAAAAATAGTACGTTTGTTACTGCTCGTGTGCCATATACTCTTTTGAATGTGTTTTCTACTGAGCAAAATGAATCAAGTTCAGTTTCCCGTTATTAGATGGCGCCAGATGCGGTATTTAGTTAAAATCATATAGGATTAATCCATATTTTGTATATTCACGTGTTACTTATTATTAAATCGTTTTTATATTTACACTTTAATATTCGTGGCATGTCTGAACATGGCCTAGTGTCATTATTTTAGTGTTTTACTGTAAGATGGCGGTATCTATTGTCATTAGAAGTTACCACTACTGCGATGTATTCTTAAATTGAAAATAAACATGAATTGTTATGTGATTGAGGCTGAAATCTATCAAGAGACAATATTATTAACTGGTATTAATTGACAAAACGTTGTCAAATTTTACTAAAAAAAAGAGTATGTTAATTGACCTACACTCCTAATTTTGTCTTACATAATTTTGACAATGATTTGACAAAAACGTGTCGAGATTCTGTTAGCTTTTCCATTATTTGCTCTAAATTTCTTGGAACAAATGTCAAGTATGTTTATTCCAGCAACCGCTTTAAAGTTTCTAACGTTATTTCGTACAAGCGGTAAATAAGTACACTGGGAACTAACTACTGACATTATTTCTTCTTCCAAACTGTATTAGAAACTCCCTAAATGCACGAACTTTAGACGAGTTTCGTGAAAGAATTTAGACTCTTACTATATAGCCTTCGTTCTAAATATGAAGTTGGAGGAGCTTTCATAGGAAGTTCAGCGTGCGGTAATTTTAATAAACATGGATAAAATGGTATTGACAGGGCAATACTTGCAGCTCATTTCGGAGTGCATATACAGGGTGTTAAAAGTTTGACTGCCTTGATTTTAAAAGACGATAGAATACATTAAAATAAACAATAAACCTCATATGACATGGGTCCTAAACTCAACCATTTCCGAGAAAAAAATGACCAAATTGATGTACAAAAGTACGATTAATTAAAGGAATATTGACAACTGCGTGCATAGAATACCATAAAATACTATGTTTATCACTTTTTTGAACTTCTTTATGTTTAATTCTAAAAAATAATTAGCGTTGTGATAAATTTAAAATTCATATCGAGCAATGTGACAACAAGTACTAAGCTCCAGCAATACGCAATTCAGTTGGTATCTGGAATTGGACCGTGTGGGAGTGTTTTTTACGTACCACTATTTCGTTTTTTTGTCTGTGCAGTTTGTTTTGTACGTTTAAAAATTACTGAATTTTGATTTTTGGTAGGTATGTATCTAAATTATTTTTCATACGTTTGATTATTTGGACGACGTGAATCTACTTTAGGTAGATGGTACTTTAATTAATTTTTCAAATTCATAATTTGATTAAAAGTTAAGTTCCTGTCTTAAGAGATTCATAATTACTAAAATTCGAGCTAAAATTTAAGCGCAACACTACCTTCGTACTACAAAATCGTTACATTTTATTTTATTTATTTAAAAACTGAAACAATTGTCTTGAAATTTACTAAATGTTTCACAATAATAATTGTTTACATTTTTTCCATAGGACAAGTCTACCGCGCTGTTGTCACGTTGTGATGAAACTCCCCAATGCATTTATCTGGATCAAATGTACATTTTAATATGAGCTTTAAACTAAGATCAGTTTGGATTCTAGAGTCACATTGATTTAAGCTTGGTTTTCCAATCTCAATTCAACAAAAATTCTAGGCAATTCTGGCGAATAAAATGGATTGATTCGCCTGTATCTATGACACTGGTAATTTATATTAAGATTTTTTATTCCTTCAAATACAGATCCACATCTTGAAAGCGGTGTGTTTCCGAACCAAGATTTATTTATCGTTACTAATTTTTACCAAAGGAATGTCCCCTTAAACGAGTGCACTTCCTCGCGCTACATCCTGTATAGTAGGTTCACGCCCCCACCATCCGACGATCGGTTTTTCCAAGTACCCGTGCCACCGCCATATTTGCAAATTGCATTAGTTGAACAAACAGTGAAACACATTAACCCGATTCGGGCGTTCCTTTGTCGAATATAGTTCCATTACTCATCGGCAAAGGGTTAAAGGGTCCGATAAAACCTATAGAGTGTTTATCGGGTCCTATGTCAGTCGCACCCTTTCGCCGCTACTTGTTTACTAGAGAATCACGTGTTAATCGATACAGTAAGTCTTACAGGGACTCTGCACGGAGTAAAGCTAGAATGTTTAACAAATTAACAAAAAAAAAGCTATAAACATTAATTATTTTTTATTTTAGATAATTATTGATGACTAACTTGTCTACGGAGACATTTCTTTAGCATACTTACAGATATTTTACATCAAAGAGTACCAATAACTTTGAGAAAATTTGTAAATAGAAATAGAGGAGACCTACAAAGCTTTGCCAGTTCTCCTTTCATGAGGTAGGCTCCGGACTGCGGTAGTTCGTGCCCCGACAGAGCGACTGTATTTAATATTTTATCAGATCCTCCACATCCCCGTCAAACCCCATTAAATCTATCAGCCGAGAGTTCAAACTTCGCCATCTGGCTAACGGAACTTAATTAGTTGACTCATTTCCCTTTCCTTTCGGGGAACCCGGGGGTATTATAACAATTAATTAGAACGTATAGACTTTCCGAGTTTGTTAAGCAACTGCGAATTTCGCCACGGCGTTTTTTTGCCGGATCGTAGTTTTCCGCAACCGAGGAGGGTATCGGGAATTTGCGTAACCTCGCCCCACACGTTAATTGAGAAGTTTTGAGGTAAAGTTTCCATTCTGTACAATACTGTTGCTAAAGTACATTATTTTTATTATTTACTTTACTACTTTAGATGCAACCAATGATAATTTTTTGTATTTAAATTCAAGGTTAGGGTTTTTTTAATCTTAACACACTAAAAAAACAGTTTATTCATACAATTTTTTCTCTCTCTGTGTATATATATTGTTGCAATCCCAGGGCGTATTCAGGCGTTCCAAATAATAATTGTATTCGGCTGTGGTGCAACTAACCGCGCGTTGGTCCGGCTGTGGATGCTTTTAATGTTGCGGTTGCCACGGGAAATTAAATTCGTAATAAACATTAAGATTTATCATGCGAGATAACGTCAATTTAACATGTAACAGGTTTGCGCCTTCGGGCGTATAGTTTCTCGAATAGTTACTAGGATTTTCTGCCGAACGAAAAGTGTTGACGATTTTTCTTACGAAAAATATGCAGTTCAGAAGTGAGGTGAATTTTTTTTAAGTTAAGGTAGCGCAAATTTAAATTAGTTTTCATTTTTGTTTAAAAATCGTTAAAAATGTTGAATTTAAATGAATATTGTAATTTCCTTTTTTCATGACATAAAAGTATTACCAAAATCATTTTGAACTCATGAAAATATTTTGTTGAAAAACTTACTAAGCTGACAGTTTTGGGCTTTTGGAAAAATAATAATACAGAGAGAAAAGCAAAAGATATGTTCAATTGTCATGTAAAGAGTGACCGCCAAAAACCTGTGATTTTCGCCCGTTTTTTCACAATTTGCAGAGAATTAAAAAAAATACATGAAAATATGTTTTGGTCGCAAATTACTTGTCGTAAAAAACTGAAATGAGCATAGCTTTTAATATTTTGAAAATTTTAAAATTCACCCCTACTTAGGGGTTGAAAAAATGCCAAAAATGAATAATTTGAATATTACCAATTGATATAAAAACTATTAGCATGTGAATTATTTTAATATATTTTTTTTGGAATTTTTACAATTATTTCTGATATTCTCTATTTTTGGGGATGATTCCACCCCCTGAGCGCGCTTAAGGGTGAATTTTTTAATGCAACATGCTTATTTGAGTCATGAGAATAAATCTTTCTTTGTATCAAGAATCATTCGATAGAAAAATTCACATGCTAATAGTTTCTATATTTATTGGTAATATTAAATTCTTCATTTTGGGCGTCTTTTCAACCCCTACAGAGGGGTAATTTTTGAAAATTTTCAAAAAACTAAAAGCTATGCTCATCTTAATTTTTTACGACGAGTAATTTGGGACCATAAACATATTTTTATCTATTTTCTTTAGTTCTCTGCGAATTGTGAAAAAAACGAGCGATTTTTGCGGTCACTCTTTTGATCAGTAAGTAACACTACGTACATATCTTATCGGTCTACAAAATTAAACAATTGAATTATGAACTATCATTTATAACAATTTTAGTTAAGAAAACGCATCGTTTTGAATGGAATATGGAAAAGTTTTCGAAACGAAGACTTGATTGGCGGATATACTATATGAAATAGAAACATTTTTGGAACCGCTGACTCTTTTAATAGCTCGGCTGGTTATATTCAGCGGAATAGAAATTCTAGGGTATACAATAACAGTGCTTCCCAGTATTTCTGCCACTGGTTAATATAAAGGGTGATTCACAAATGGTGACCAAAAATAAAACCTCGTATTCTTTAGTGTTTCTAATTTTTTTAAATAATTTCAAAACTAGTAAGTGAAACAATTTGAAATTGGGCACATGTATTTATGTAAATATTTGAGGGCTTTTCCTAAAATTTACATGCTCCAGTGGCGGAGTTACAGGGGTATCGGTGGCATATTTTTTAAATAAAATAGTACGCCACTGCTTTACGGTAACAACCATGATATTTTCGGATTCGTCCTTCAATTTTCTACAATTTACTACTCTCTTATGTTTTTCGAAAAAAAGCCTGATATTCGAGTAAAACTGAAAATACTTTTGCTTAAATAACATGACAAACACTAATCATTCAGTTATTTATTCGAATAAAGAAATTAATAACATTATTAATTTATTTCAGTACATGCTCAAAAATACCTCAATTTCCATGAAAGTTATTGTTG